ATATTATAAATTATAAGAAAAATAAAATAACATGGATGTAATTCGAAATTAATTTTTTTTTAACTTCAATATAATATATATTACAATCTTTTTCAAGTAGGTATTTGTTATAATATTTGCCACAATTTCAACATTGCCTAACTTAGTTAGAAATTGAAACATTATATTGTAACAAGGTATAAGTAAGATAAATATTCTATGCATATTATTTACTGATAATATTTGAATATAACTAAAATTGATTCCGGCGCCACTCTCAACTAGACCGGCGGTATCACTCTGACAACCTCCATATAAACCCCACCGTGCCGCCTCCGACTATGACAAAATCGATCTCCTCGTGACTTCACAGTCCAGCGACGATACACATCCGATTAGATCTACGCCGACGAAGGAAGCTTGTTGTGTCGTGTTCACCTCCGATGGCGAATGGAGGAGAGGCAACAGTCATAGTCAATTGTTTGTCTATTGCCTTAGTTCAATTAGCTTAAACCCACAAAATTATTAGGCCTTTGTTTTCCATTTATGTGCTTTGACAATTAACTAGTGAATGATGCTCCGAATCACCTTTCTCGGGAGACAAGACCTGATGTCGGGATTTATTCCGTACTCGTTTAAAATCAAATCAACAAATTAAAACCTAAAATAAAATAAAACGAACACAAATAAAACACATAAAAACTCACAAAATAACAACAAAAACATACAAAACATGGCTCTAGCGCCTTCTCTCTCTACTGCGTCTTTCTGATTTTCCTAGGGTCGGTCCGGTGGACTCCCTTTGGCGGGGGCGTCCTTTTTCTTCTCTGGAGTATTTGGCGCGTCGCTGGAGTCGTCTTGGGGAAGTGATTAGGTGTTGGGCTCCGGGTGCTCATCGGGTGACCTTTGTGGAAGGGGGATCCGGTTCGAGTGGTGGCGGTTCTAGTTAGCCACCGTCATACTGTGGTGGTTAGTATTTAGTGTACTGTTTAGTTTGTATTTGTGTTTGTGTTTGTTTAATATTTTTATTTTTCATTATTATTTTTTTTTTTTGGTACATTGTATTTTTCATTATTAGCGTTAGAATTCTCCACTTTTGTTAGCTAAGCATTATAGTTTATTAGCCTTGTTAGTGTATTTTAAACAAATTTGATACAGGATTCGATATAAAAAAGTTGGATACATGTCAGGATTGAAAGTTTCAATTTTATACGGGGTTGGATAAGTTTCTCATCAAAACTAGGCAACCAAGTGATGAATATTGGAAGAAATTGACCTAAAAAATTTAGAGTTTATGTGCCAAATTCATTCCAAAATAGCATATATTGGATCGAAATTGACATAATATTAAAAGTTAATATCAAATTTAAAATCCAATAAAATTATTGCACAAAATTGATCGAGAAATAATATTAACCATCCAAATCTGACGACCCCGTCATCCGTTTTATAAATAAAAATTTACTATTGATGAAAATCGTAACAAAAACAAAATATAGTGTACTAAATCAAAATTAAAATATATACGAAAGTGCAACTGTTTAAAATTTAGAGGACTAATATAATATTATAATAGAAAATGGAACATAATTTAGGTTACATATTTTTTTGGTAGGTAACCATAATATTCCGAGTTATGCCCTAACTAATTCATTGGTCGACCTGAGTCTGGTGGGTGAGTCTCCCAACAAGGGTTGTTTGCTTCCACAAAGACTCGAACACGAGATTTTACTTAAGCGGCATCAAACTGTCTACCACTTGAAACAACCCTTGTTGGTTCGATTACATATTTTCAATATATAGAATGTTCTATCAGTTATTGCACAAAAAGGCAGGGCTTAACTAAACATGCGCATCTTCTTTAATAAGAGAATCAGAGCAGAAACTTTGCTGAACTTCAAGGGTTAGTTCTTCCACGCTCACTTGGCACTCCATCCCTATCTGTCATCATCATTTTCATCAAAAAAAAAAAAAAACACAAATAAAATCCAAGTTATCTATATAAATACGCCCAATTTCTTATGTGTGCTAATTAAGTATTCTTAGATGTTGTTAATGGTCTTGAATTAAATGGACACAATTACAAAGCCCTAACAAAACACAAACATACATATTTATAGGTATAATAATAATAGGAAAAAAAATTCAATTTTGGTCCGTTCATTTGTCTAAAGTCATTTTTGGTATACTTACTTTCCCTCATCATTAGTGGTACGTTATGTTGCATTTTGTATCGCTATTGCTACACATTATCGTGAAAATTGTTCATTATATTTTGGAATTAATGTCCGAAAAATTATACAAATTGCAACATAACGTACTGATTTTGTTGAGTATTGTCCCAAAAATGATACAAATTGCAACATAACGTACTATTATTGATGAATGGAAAGTTAGTGTAACAAAAAAGGATTTTGGACAAGTAAACGGACCAAAATTGAAAATTTTCATAATAATACACTCACACACACCTTGATGACGAAGGAGTAGAGAACAGTATCCTCCATGCTACTGATGTTCAAGTGGAGAATCTCGAACGAGAGTTTTTCCAAAACACCGATTATCTTAACAATTTGACCGGGTATACGTTTCGATATCGTCCTTAGGAGGACATTTGAGCCAGATATTTTGGCCTCAACGTCAGCAATTGGCGAGTTGCAGCATGCACCGAGTTCCTTGAAGTTAGAATCGTTCAACCCGATCAATGGGCTTTCAGGTTGACGAGGACTAATCTGAAATTGCTTTGGACTTGGGCTTGGGCTTAGGCTCTTCCTTCTCTTCTTCGCCTCTAGGGCTTGCGCAACTTGTTGCAACTCCTTGATGAACTCAATCACCCCACCTATGATCGATGCTTGGTCTCCCTTTATTATTATAAAAGCACCAAAATTTATCAACAATATAAATATATGAAACAAATTAGTTCATGATGTACAATTGATAGTGTTAATTTTTTACAAATAGCAAAAGTCAAAGATGTTAAACAAAAACTTCAAGAAATCCTCTTTCTTGTAGATTAATATACTTGATTAAGAATTCACTATCAATATGAAATTTTTTCAATATCATCTCATCCTCAAAATTCACTAACATCACACACACGCGCGCGCGCGAACACACACATAAAAATCAAGAAGGCGAATATGAAAGGAATTTACGTACTCGTTTTATGTAGAAACACGGAGTCAAGGAGCGTAGGACCTTGAGGTGTTCGTTCATCTGCCTTCTTCGATTCCTCTCGACGGCTATGTGAGACATGGTTGCTATGGTCAAGAAGTATGCTATCTTAATTTGGGTATCGTTTGGTTGCTTGTTTCTTGGTTTTGATTATTTATTGACTTTCAAATTTGCTTCACTTGTTATTTATAGAGGTAGCAAAAGGCAGCTTACCTAGAATGTCTAAGTTTTTTTGCATGGGGATGACTCTGAATTTATGGGACTAGGGTTTTTTCATTAAATGTAGTGTGTTACACTCTCGTGAGGTTAATTTATGTTTTACACTTTACTATCTCTTTAACACGCAAGCACGCACACACGCACATATTTACACACAAACACACACAAATGCGATGGTATGTATATATCGTCACGTATATGAAGGTGGAACAATTACGTTCTCCGCGTGAGATATAAAATTAAGTATTGCATGCATTGATCAATAAACTTTGTCACGAATTGAGTCATTTTATGGTGCTCTTCATGCATGCCACACGCTCGGTTTTTTTTTTTTTTTTTTTTTTTGTGATTTTGACGGCTCGAGTTCCGTGAGCCTTTTATATTAGGGACATATATGTTTTATTTAATATATGCCACAAGAAAATTACAACCCCTTTCCCAAAGTCAACTAACTATAGATTTGGATATAATTGATGTAAAAAATATATTAGGATTTCAATATAAACGTGGGTAGACATTGCCAAAAATCGGGCCGGGTCACGGCCCGGCTCGGCGGGCCAGGCTTGAAAAACAATGATTCGGACCCGACACAGATCTATACTCGTGCCGAGACAATGACTCGATTGTCCGCGTCGAGCCAGTCATTTTTTTTAAAAATCAATAAAAAAATTGAAAAAGCGGGTCATCGACCCGGACAGGCCCGGACCCGTTGGGTCGGGTCGTGAATGTATGACCCTGAAACAACCCATCGAAAATTAGGTCCGATCCCGGACCCATGGTCAACGGGTTTGACAGAGCTGGGTCCATGCCGGATCGGTGGGCCGGACGGTCCTTGGCCATGTCTAAACGTGGGCAAGCAAAATTGGTTGTATTATGCACTCATATTCCATATATCTAAGATCTAGTAGGGCAATATTAATTTATTTATGATTTTCAATTGAACAATTTCAATTGAAGAATACCTATTACAATATTATTAATTTTAAAAATATTAATTTCAATTGAAGACTACCTATTACAAGTATTTTTTTTTTTCCATATTTACATCTATTACTATATAACAGAGATAATGATTTACTTGAATTAGTATTAAAATTCCCGTTTAAATTTTTCTGTGTTACTATTTTTAATTAATATTTTTTAAAATTGGCCGACTAAATGAAAATTCGAATTAAAATTAAAAATAAAATTTTGTTATTTGAAAAAGATATGGTGTAAACCTAAATCCTAAAAATATGGACACCGATTACCTTAAATGCTACGGGTAAAACTGACTGATATTGAGAAAGAATCTTGAAAATCTTGCTTTCAAAAAATCCGATCAATCATTTTAAATTTTTTCGATCAAACGTGTAAATTTGGATACAAAAATCTGGTTAATCCATTAACGAATAAAGCGTCTGGAATTTCTTGAAATCTTTCCGAAAAGTCATGACAACTTAATTGTTATATATTTTATATTTTTATCTATCTACAAATCTCATATTTTACGGTCACAAATAAAATTTTGTATTTATTTAATAAATAATGTTAATTTCAATTAATTTTTATATTTCGAATTGTTGAACAAAATTGATGATTTTTTTTATCCATATTTGTCTAACTGCAATATCTTTTAAAGTTTAAATAAATAATATATATTTTTTTATATTTTGTATTTCTTTTCTGATAATAATGAGATGATAAATATAAATAATTATTCTTAAAATAAAATTCAAAAAATATTTTAAGTAACAAGCTCGTATGTACGTAAATCGCACAAAATGCGCACTATAATTATTAATTAAACATAATCCAATTTCATGATAATTCATAATTTTTCTACGAGTTAGAGCATCTCCAATCGAATACACCAAACTCAAACTCATTTTGCAGCACATATCCCATTTTGCAGTAATTCATCTCCAATCGAAAAACCCATTTTCCAACCCAAAAGAATATTCTCGGAATATTCTCTTTTACATCAACTTTTACAACTTTTCAATACTACCCACATATTTTACAACTTTACAAATTAAACCACACTTTTATTTTCAATTCAATTTAGACTTTATGTAATAAAATCGAAGAAATAAATAGTCATTAAAAATAAAATTTAAAAATTACGACACACAATATAATATTAAAAATTACAATGCACAACATTATAAAATAAAAATTACAACACACAAGATAAAATTAAAAAACTACAACGGACAAGATGAGAAATTAAAAATTACAACACACTAAATAAAATTAAAAATTACAACACACAAGATGAGAAATTAAAAATTCCAACAATCAAGTAAAAATAGATAGTCTTTCAAGTCTCGGAATTGGTGAATTCCTCAAATAAAAATGTTAATTACTCAAATAATAAAAATATATTTTATTTATTTTTATTTAACATAATTTGGTCTAGATCATATATGGTTTAGGGCATATATTTACATTTTGGAAAATGATTTATGGCATATATGGTCTAGACCATATATGGTTTATGGCATATATTTACAGTCTAGATTTTCTTAGTGAAAATATGCCCTAAACCATATATGGTCTAGACTGTAAATATGCACTAAAACACATTATACAAAAAATTACCAATAATAATAAATTTATTTCTCAACCATTTATTAGAATGTTGATAAATTACGTATTTGTATAAAATTTGAAGAAAGTTTTACATATATTTTTATTAGATTGGATCTGATGGCCCCTAGGGACTTTACATCTAATTTGTATTTGGTGATTTATAATGTTATTTTTCATTGGTAAGAAAATTATATATTAAATATATATATTCTTTATGTTAATATTTAATTTATAAAAAATTAAAGGATAAATATAACACTAATTATTTTAGTATGTTGATATATTTTAAAAAATAAATAAATATAACAATTATGTTAATAAATCATTATGAACAGAAACAAGATCACATAGCCGAATTATTTTCTTATCTAAGTTTAGTAAAATTAATTATTTTTTTTCTTCATTTGAAGAATTATTTATCTTTTTTTTTCATTATTGGCCAATTATGTAATTAATAACAAATATGAGTGTGAGATTGCAATTTCAAAACTACAAACGCAATTTTTGCGTTGGAACGCATATATGCGTATATCTGATGAGAGAGAGTGAGGAAAACGCAATTTGAGTTTGCGTTTGGTGTTCGATTGGATCAATTTCTTTCCCTCATTTTGAGTTTTGGGATTCGGTTGGAGTTGATCTTACACAAGGCTAAGGAAAATTATCTCTCATTTTTTTTCTTATATTGCTCTCCCACATCTTTTCGAGTTTTTTTTTTTTTTTTTCCAAAACATCTTTTCGAGTTTATACCGTGTTATTTATTTGTTTATTTGTTGTCTTATTTTTGTATTCTGTCAAAAGGCTGAACATGTGTCAGTGCGGGTCTATATGACTATTCAACCTTTTTCTACCAGTTGCACTGCCGTGTGTCCTAGCACACCTAGCTAGATGTGCCAGGGTAGATTTGCACGCGCTTCACTCATCCCAAAAACAAGAAAATTTTGAGAGTGTAGTACACATTTCTATTTTTTCTTTTCTTAATTGAAAAATGAGACATATTACATAAATTAAAATATCATTAATTATTTATATTAAAAAAATAAAATAAAAGTACCAAAATTCATAATTTTTCATTATCTATAAATAGAGACCACATTTGATAGGTTTTTGAACCCAACTAATTTTTCGTTTTTTCATAATTTTTCATAATTTTTTGTAATTATTTTATTATACTGACATATAATGAACATGTTACATAATAAAATGAATATGTTTTCAAATATGATGAACATGTTACAGATTGCAGATTGAAATAATACATATTCATCTTATTTTATAACATGTTCACTTTATTGTGTATGTAACATGTTTGAAATAATACATATTCATCTTATTTTATAACATGTTCACTTTATTGTGTATGTAACATGTTCATCTTATTCTATAACATTTCATTTTATCATGTAACATGTTCATCTTATTCTATACTATGTTCATTTTATTACGTAACATGTTCACCTTATTGTGTATGTAACATATTCATCTTATTCTATAACATGTTCATTTTTATTATGTAACATGTTCATCTTATTCTATAACATGTTCATTTTATTATGTAACATGTTCACCTTATTGTGCATGTAACATGTTCATCTTATCCTATAACATGTTCATTTTATTATGTAACATGTTCATCGTATTCTATAACATGTTATT